TGAGTTGGTGGGCTAGGACTGGCCTTGGATCGTAATACGCACATAATAAAATACACTTTAGGTAACGTCTTCACATTTCAAAAATCCCAATAAGAAGCTCTCATTGAAAAAAAAAAAACACTTTGGTTTCTGCTAGAAGTCACATGTCACTGGGCAGTTTTCAAGTTGACACTAAACTTAGCTGAGGTTTGGATTTGGGTCACAGGTTTATCAGTCAAAACTGAAACTTGGGGTTAACCTACATATAGAACTAAACAAAGAGTTCAGACATCTTGGAAGATGGGGGAGGGGGAATCCTAGTTCTATTCAGTTCTGAAATCCAACTCCACGATTTAGCAGGGAGAAGCAGGACTGAGCTGCCCGGGGGAAGTTTTTGTTGAGATTTAAAAATACCTTTGAGGCGATTATCTAGTTAAAAATGAAACAAAGTGAGAAACCTACACTTTGTGACAAATACATTTTGACAAGAACAACTGCAACTATCAATTCAGTCATATGGAACTAAAACCTAAAAATGACTAAGACATTGTTATTAATATCCATCTACTCCCCCACTGCAAATACAAACAAGAAAGTCCAGAACATGTCAGGTATCTGTCTCATGCCAGTAGGAATTTTCTGCATGGCTTGGCTTACTACTTAACCCTACTCAGGCAAGTGAAACAGTATCTGTGGACCAGTGCACTTCAATACACAAGCCACTCCCAAGAATGCTATCCAGGGAGGGTTTTATGAAGGTCAAGTTCTGTGCAGCTTGCATCTAAAAGCAGATCTGCATGCAAGCAAACCCCAGACACCCATCACAGACCTGAGTTCCAGCCCAGTCTCTGCTCCTCGCTAGCTGTACCAGGGTGGCCAAATCACTTCCACCTCTACAGCCTCAGAATTTTTTTTTTCCAAAATAAAAATTAGGAAAGGAAAAGGGAGGAAGGGGGTGAGGGTGGGGGTGGAAAGGAAGGAAAAGGGACCAAAGGATTCTGCGCTCCCCTACAGTTTTGACAAGGAGTTCTCATGAGTTCTGCAAAACTTCTAGCCCAGTCTTCGAAGCATGGGCCGGAAATCCAAAGCACCCAAAGTGAAAAGAGTCATCCTCTCTTACTTGCTTTCGAAGGCCAGGGTCACTGACCAGTAATGCGGATCAGCGCATTTGGATACGCCGATTAGTATTTTTAGAGCCCTGTCCACCGTATGCTAAGTCCCCGGGCCGAACAAGTAGCCCTTTACAAACGCTCAAAGAAAACATCGGACAGGTGTGAACGCCAGACACAACTCTGTGACCTTGGGAGCGCCCTGTCCGGCGTCTGGCTCTCTACTCTCGGCTCTGTAAAAGGACGAAAATGGTCTTTCGGTGGTCCCTGCAGCTCCGAAGCCAAGGCTCCTGGCCTGGCCGCTCGCGCGGTCCGGGGCCGGGCAGGAGTGGCCGGCGGCGAGATGCAGCCTCCTCGCCGAACCGCGACCCAGCTCCGCGCCGACTGTGCACCACGCCACGCCCAGCCGGGAGCCCGGGGCCGGGCGGACCGTTATCCCGGCATCCCGCCATCCCGCCGGGCGCCCCGGGGCCTGGCGCCGGCAGGCAGCGAGAGGCCTCCTCCCGTTAGGAGGCCAGCCCAGGCCATCTGCCCGCCTCCATCCCCCACCACCGCTGCGCCGGGACCCCCGCGCCGGACCGGCAGCCCCGGGACCCAGCCCGGCAGCGCGGCTGGCGCTGAGCTGTTACCTGGCGGAGCGCACGGAGATGCCTGGGGGGCCCCGTGGCGGCCCAGATGGAGGCCACAGGAAGCGGCGCGGCGAGGGGGGACAGGACGAGGCTGTGACGGCGGCGGCGGCGGCGGAGCCGGGGGTCTGGGGGCACCTGCCGGCCGGGAGGACGGAGCGCAGAGCCGAGGGACGTTGGCAGATCCGGCGGGAGAGGCCTCCTCCTTCGGGCGGGGGCGGGGGCGGGGCGGGGGGAGGGGAGGACCAGCCGGCGGTGACGTGAGGCCTGCAGGACGATGCTCTCGTTCGCGTGTTGCCTGTTTATTTAAACCCTTACCCATTCCTCCTTCCCCCGGATGGGACAGCCTATCCAAGAAGCAACGACTGAGCGCCTGCTGAGTAATTGCATCCCTACTAAGCACCGTGGGGGGATGGAACCTGCGGGGTGCATGAAGCAAAGAACCAACTGAGCACCCGAAAAGTGCTCGGACCTGGGAATTAGAAGTCGTACGCATTGTAGCCCTGCCTAGAACTCGGGCGTAGGAGCACACCTTGCTGGGTATGCCTTCGCGAAACTTCCAAGTTTCTTGAGCCTCGCGTGTCTCGTTCTCCGGATTGGGGATGATAATACCTGCCTCATTATTGTGAGGATTTTAAGGTCACGAGAGCAAGCCGAAGTGCTTCGAACAATGGCTGGCACGTGGAAGGCACTGCAAATGTCAACTCTCGTTTTATTTCCCTTGAGGCAAATGCTGTCTCCTCTCTGGGTCTATTTTTTGATACCGGGGAGAGTAAGTCTGAAGAGAGAAGTGTGGCTGAAGGCAGTGTCAGGCAAGGGTGAGGGTGCTGAGGGGCCCAGACATTCTTAAAAACAGAAGGCGTTTGGCAGAGTTGTGAGTGCCTGGCCCCTGTCTGGAGATGGAAGGAACAGGAAATATTCTAGTTTGGGTTGTTAATCTTGCCAACTCCTGAAGGGCACAGATGGCACGGCTTTCGTCTTTGTCTCCCTGCTACTACTGTGAGACAGGTGCAGTTCATGTCTGCTGGTTGAATGAGTGGGACAGGAATCTGGGAAACTGTATTGGAAGCACAGTGCACTTCCTACAGCTTGTTTGTCATCTATGCTACCTGGAAAATGCAGGCCGTTCCTTGCATACTGTGAATTATTGTGGGGGAGGACCCAGGCATTGTAGTTTTTCCAACCTGTCCCAGAGTCATTCATGGTTGAGAACCACTGCGGTGACAGGGTCTCAAGTGCCTGTGGTGCCAGCCTCAGATGCCGGACTGTGCCACCTTATGTGGGTAAGAGGAAGTCCACGATGTTATTGAATGAGGAAATATCATATTACCATGCTTTCCAAGCCCTTGCTACTCAAAGTGTGGTTTTGAACCAGGGAAATCTGCATCAGCTCGAAGTTTATTAGGAACATAGACTCTCAGACCCTAGCCTGTACCTACTAAATCAGAGCCTGCTTTAACAAGGACAATGTTGATTTGCATGCACATTTGGGCAGCAGTCATCAGCCTTGAGAGCACAGTAGGATCACTGGAGGAGCCTTAAAAAATCCCAATGGCCAGGCCATATTCCAAATAAAATAAATCAACATCTTTGTATGACTATCAATAGCCAATCACCTCCCCAGGTGATTCTTATGTGTAACCAATGTTAAGAACCCTTGCTGCTCTAGAGACATTTGAATAGAATCAGTGTGAGAGGAACTGGAGAAGACTTGGTATATATGTGTTGGAACAGACCAAATAGGAGGTAGTGATAGCCTGAAGCAATAGAACATGCAAAGATCCAACCTTTTCTCCAACTGCTTTTGTTGCAACCTTGTTTTTCTCCCCTTCTACTATCTGAATCTAGGACTTTCTTCTTGCTGCCACCTTTTCCTACGAAAAAAACGAATGCCACAGCCTTCAAGACTCTACAGGCTGATGGGCTAAGAGAAGGTGCCCATTCCTCCTAACCTATTGGGCTTTTGTCCTAAGGTGGCTGGGATTCTAGGTTTAGGCTTCACTACCTGGGATTAAATTTTATTAATTTATATCTTTGGCCACCATCCCTATTCCAGTGGCATCTTCTGGAAAAGTTCCAGGCTTTTAGGGAGTGCAGGAGATATGAAGTTCTCTACCAACTCAATGACAATGACAGTCATGATCACAGACAACACTTACATTGCTGAATTAATGCAGCAAGCATTCTTCCAAGCACTCTTACTCTATTAACTTATTTAATCTTCACAGCACTGAAGTATGGGACCTATCGTCCCATACTTTTTATAGTATTTTGCAGGTGAGAAACTAAGGCCCAGAGCAGTCAAGAACCTTCCCAAAGTGACACAATCAGTTGGAGACAATTGGGTATGAATCCAGGCAAGAAGACACTTAACCATCAAGATGTGCTGCCTCCAGTCAACTAGAACAGCCTACAGATATGTCCTTGTAGTCATGGCTCCTACACTGGTGAAGGGCATTGGAAGTTGTTTAAAGGAACTCCAATTAAAAAAAAAACTTAATTACACGGTGGGCATTTAGGGTACCAGTTAAGATGCTGCATCTCACATTGGTTCGATTCCCAGCTGCTGCAGATGCTGGGAGGCCGCAGTGGTGGGTCAGGTGGTTGGGAACCTGCCACTCACATGGGAGGCCTGGATGGATTTCCAAGCTCCTAGCTTCAGCCAGGTCCAGTCTCAGTCACTGGGGGTTTTGGGGGAGTGAACTAGCCTATGTGAGTACACTCTGCCTCTCAAATCCAACAACAAAAAAATCCTAATTGCTTATTTTGTGCTGGTCACAATGTTAGGCGTGGGGATATATAGAAAAAAAGGGACAACCTTGATGACAAGGAGGTCACCACACAGTCTAGAGAAGCAGAAGTGTCCATAAAGAAGAAATGACAGGTGCATACAGAGAGCACTGAGCTGGAAAATGTGGTGGCTGAGGGCGGGGTCACTGATCTGAATCCTGGGATTAATAAACTCATTCTCTGAATTAGATCAAAAGCTCTTACTTTGTCTTAGGAGCCCACCAGCTGGGCCCACCAGTTTTGAGTCAACTAAAGATCAGAGTGAAATAAAACTTGAAAAGCAGCGGCAGCAATTTTTCCCTCTCTTCTACTCCCCGAACAATGACTGGCTGTGGCCCATAGAGTCTCTTGTCCCTAATTAGAAGCTAACCAAGCTTCCAGTAAACCTCCCTGGAATTAGGGTTTTATGGGGTCATGCAGACATGAAAGATGGTTTGACTCTGTTCGGCGACGGTGCAAGTCAGTGGGCAATGGAAGCTAATGGAGACTGAGCAAATTGTACTACAGTTCTGTTTATTTCTGTTACAAAAACCATGGGCCAATGCGTGAAAACCAGAATTCTGGACAGTGTGGGAGATCAGCTTTTAGCACTCAACTGAGCAGGATGGCAAGGTAGCCAGGACGCTGCAGGGAAGGGTGAACTCTGACCTCCATGAGTATACAAGCAGGAGTGTACTATGCATGTGTGTGTGCCAGACATGCACAGATGGGCCATGAGTGGTGGAGCTGGAGTCTTCTCTTGCTGTCTGTTTGCTATATCCCCTTTTTAACTGGATCTTTCCTTGAGAGACAATCACTACCAGTAGGCCTTCTCCCATCCATGACATGAAATAGGAGTCTTCATATAAGCCCCCATTCCAACATCAGAAGTTAACTATTGATGATTTCTAAGATTCTGAAACACTCATGGAAAATGGCATTAAGGGCTCCCTATTCCCACCATCCAATATCTACTGCAGCAATGGCAACTATTTAACTTTTTATTAACCTAGACAAACCACAAGGATAACTTCCCTGTACCTCAACCTTTGTACCAAAAATGGTAATATATACCAAAGCCACATACATATGAATGTTAAATTATCTTTTGGATCTGGCATTTTGGCACAGCAGGTTAAGCCACTGCCTACAATGCTGGCATCCCATATAGATGCTGGTTTGGAGTCCCAGCTACTCCATTTCCCATCCAGCTCCCTGCTAATGTGTGTGGACAGACAGCGGAAGATAGCCCAAGTACTTGGGCCCCTGCCATCCACATAAGGGACCTGGACAGAGTTCCAAGCTCCTGGTTTCAGCTTGGCCCAGTCCAGGCCACTGCAGTCATTTGGTGAGTGAACCAGCTGATAAAGATCTCTCTCTCTTGCTCCCTATATATTTCGAGTAAATAAAAATTTTAAAAATAATAAATTACCTTTGCCTTACATATCTATTGATCTCCATTGTGAATAATGAATAATTGGTATTCAGGATACCTGGGATACGAGATACACAGGGTCTTCAAAAATTTCATGGAAATGCATATTATGAAAAAAAAAACTGTGCCTGGGTTTCAAAAATTTTTTTGGCACCAAAGTAACCTTACCTTTTTAATTCCATTTTTCCAGAGACTTTTTGAAGTACTCTTATATTAACTTCAGCCTCCACCTCTTCTTAAGTCTCCAAATGACTTGATTTTAAACACTCATCAGTCCCTAGCCCCCTCTGCCCTCAAGATGGTTCTGTCAAAAAGAGCACCTTCGGGGCTGGCGCTGCAGCATAGCCAGTAAAGCCACTGCCTGTAGTGCCAGCACCCTATATGGTTTGAGACCCGGCTGCTCCATTTCCGAGCCAGCACTTTGCTGTAGCCTGGGAAAGCAGTGGAAGATGGCCCAAATCCTTGGACCCTTGCACCCACGTGGGAGACCTGGAAGAAGCTCCTGGCTCATGGCTTCGGATCAGTGCAGCTCTGGCCGTTCCAGCCAATTGGAGAGTGAATCTGCAGATGGAAGACCTCTCTCTCTCTCTCTCTCTCTCTCTCTCTCCCTCTTCTCTCTCTGTGTAACTCTGACTTTCAAATAAATAAATAAATCTTTAAAAAAAAAAAGAGCACCTTGAACGCTTCAGGACCCTGTATTAATGTGCACCATCTTCAGCACCAGTTTGGAAAGTGACAATGTGCCAGTCTGAAATATTTTCCACCTTCTTTATTTTCTTTTGAATTTTTCATTTTTATTTGAAAGGTTGAGAGACATAGAAGTCCCATTCCAACTCATTCCCCAAATGCCTGCAACAGCCAGGGCTGGGCCAAAGCTGGAGCCAGGGGCCAAGAACTCAGTTCAGGTCTCCCACATGGGTATCAGGAACCCAACTCCCGAGCCATCACCTGCTGCCTCCCAGGGTCTGCATTAGTGGGAAACTGAAGTCAGGAGCCAGAGCCAGGACTCAGCCCCAGGCACTCCGATGTGGGACGCAGGCTAACAGCGCGCACTCCCCAGCCCATTTCATTACATGCCCTCACATTTCCCCACAATGAAAAACCCAAAGCAATCCTGTAAACCTCTTCTTAACAGTGGAACAGTTTATATCATCATTACACAAATCTGTTTAGAAATAGAGAGATTCCTTTGAATCTCAACAGCTTTCTGGGTATTCAGTCTTTAAAAAAAAAAAGAAAAGAAAAGAAAGAAAAAAGAAGAGTTACCATTTCTGGAATGGCTTCAGGTTACAACTTTACACACTGGTCCACACAGAAGGAGCCACTAGAGAGAACATTCCCCAGAAAGTCCACCAAGCGTCCCAGTCCACACTGGCAGCTCCGTGGAAACTAGCAAGTATTTCACACTTTGGTATTTCTTCCTTTCCTTTTTTAAAGAAGATGAAATATTCCAGAAATATCTTCAAAATTCACACCTGAGTTAAACATTTTGCTGGAAAATTCCACATGAAGGAGAGAACAGAATGCAAAGCTGGAAGGGGCTATGTACACGGTTTTTTGCCAGCGTAATGGCTGTGTGTTTGCACTCGTGTTCCTCCTTTTCTGTATCCAAGAGAAAAGGGGGGAGCAGACGGGAAAAGGAGCAGCACAGGGAGGAAGAGGAAGAACCAGGCTCCCGGCCTCTGGGAGATGGGAGCAGAGAGAGGAGCACCGGTGGGCGGAGCGGCAACTCAGCCTTTGAAAAGAGGAGGAAACCTGGAGGACTTGGTTACAGAAAAGGGGGTGAGGTCAGACGGGACATGGGCTGGAGCAAAGCTTCCGGCAGAAAGCCCTGCTGAACAGAGAAAACATCAAGGCATGGTGGGTACATCAGATCCCATTCTTCTTACGGGTTGTGGGATCAGTCCGGGACCGTGGCTAAGTTCAGATCAAAACCATCGTCTCCCCTCCTGGGAATTTGGCTCACCAGGCAAACAGCTGTCCCCAGAAGCCCACAGGAGAGTTGGAGAAGAATGGCAAGAAGTCCTTTCTCTGGAAGATTCCTGCCGCAGTGTAGCTGTCTAGAGAATTTAGGGCTAGAAGGTGAGGGCTAGGCAGGGAAGGTGGAAATGGCAAACTCCTAGGAGGGGTGTGTGTTTCAAGAGCATTAGGCGTCAGCATAGGGTTCCATCACAGTTTGGATCTCCAGAGGCCTTTGCTCTGGAGAAGGCAAGAGTTTGGGTTCATTGACGGTGGGCTCTTCTTCCACTCTTCTGAAAGTGACCTGTCCATACAGAGACAGCACGGCTCCCCTCCTCCTGGCAGGGAGCACAGGGCCAGGTGGAGGAGGGAGAAGCGGTTCTGGTCTCAGTGGAGGTAGGTGGGGTGATTCCATCGGTACCAAGATCTGGAAGGAAGAATGAGACAAGGCAACCGTGAGGTTACTAATGTGACAGGGGAAGGTGGGAATAGGGTAACGGGCACCAGGCCTCTGTTGGGGATGTGAAAATATTCTGATATTACATCAAGGCGGGGCCAGTGTTGTGGTGTAATAGGCTAAGCCTCCGCCTGTGGTGCAGGCATCCCACATGGGCGCAGGTTCGGGTTCCGGCTGCTCCACTTCTGATCCAGCTCTGTGCTATAGTCTGGGAAAGCAGTAGAAGATGGCCCAAGTGCTTGGGCCCCTGCACCCTCGTGGTAGACCCAGAAGAAGGTCCTGGCTCATGGCTCTAGATCTGCCAAGCCATTGGGACCATCTGGGGAGTGGACCAGCAGATGGAAGACCTCTCTCATTCTCTCTCTCTCTCTCTCTCTCTGCCTCTTCTTCTCTCTCTGTGTAACTCTGACTTTCAAATAAGTAAAAAAATCTTTTGAAAAATTACATCATGTGTAGGTTGCCCAATTTTGTACTTTAAAATGGTGAATTTTAGGACCAGTACTGTGACATAGCAGGTAAAGCTGTCACTTGTAATGCTGGCATCCCATATGGCGCAGGTTTGAGTCCTGGCTGCTCCACTTCTAATCCACCTCCCTGCTAATGTGCCTGGAAAAGCAGCAGAAGGTAGCCCACGTACTTGAGACCCTGCACCCACATGGGAGACCCAGAAAAAGCTCCTGGCTCCTGGCCATTGCAACAAATTGGGGAATGACCTAGCAGATGGAAGATATCTCTCTTTTTCTGTCTCTCTGCTTCTGCCTCTTTGTAACTCTACCTTTCAAATAAATAAGAAAATCTTATAAATAAATGAATGAATGAATGAATGAATGAATAAAATGGTGGATTTTTTTTTGGACAGGCAAAGTTAGATAGTGAGAGAGAGACAGAGAGAAACGTCTTCCTTCCGTTGGTTCACCCCCCAAATGGCCGCTACGGCCGGCGCACTGCACCGATCCAAAGCCAGGAGCTGGGTACTTCCTCCTGGTCTCCCAGGTGCAGGTGCAGGGCCCAAGCACTTGGGCCATCCTCCACTGCCTTCCTGGGCCACAGCAGAGAGCTGGACTGGAAGAGGAGTAACCGGGACAGAACCGGCGCTCCAACCAGGATTAGAACCCGGAGTGCTGGTGCCGCAGGTGGAGGATTTAGCCTAGTGAGCCACAACGCCAGCCTAAAATGGTGAATTTTAAAGTGTTTAGCCTAGTTAAGATGTCTGCATCCCTAGACACTGGCACTGTGGCATAGCAGGTAAAGCTGACGCTGTAGGGCTGGCATCCCATATGGGTGCCAGTTCGAGTCCTGGCTGAGTCCCGGCTGAGTCCCAGCTGTTGCTCTTCCGATCCAGCTCTCTGCTGTGGTCTGGGAAAGCAGTAGAAGATGGCCCAAGTCCTTGGGTCCCTGCACCCACGTGGGAGACCCAAAAGAAGCTCCAGGCTCCTGGCTTCGGATTGGCTCAGCTCCGACAGTTGCAGCCATCTGAGTAGTGAACCAGCAGATGGAAGACCTCTCTCTCTCTCTCTCTCTCTCTCTCTCTCTCTCTCTCCCCCTCTGTAACTCTGTAACTCTACATTTCAAATAAATAAATAAATAAATCTTTTTTAAAAAAAAGTCTGCATCCCATATCAGAGTACCTTGGTTCCATATCTAGCTCTAGCTCCTGAATCCCACTTCCTCCTAACATAGACCCTAGGAGGCAGCAGTGATGGCTCAAGTAATTGTCCACATACCTGGCAGACCTGGATTGACTTCCCAGCTCCTGGCTGTGGCCTGGTAGCCCCAGCTGTTCTGGGCATTTGGGGAATGAAAGTTTGAATGGAAGCTCCATCTCTATCCCTATCCCTATCCCTATCCCTATCCCTATCCCTCTCTATCTCTATCTCTATCTCTATCTCTATCTCTATCTCTATCCCTATCCCTATCTCTCTCTATCTCTGTCTGTCTCTTACTCTCAACTAAATAAATGTATTTTAATGGTGAGTTTTCTGATATGTGAATTATACAACATAATAATTTTTTAAATTTAAATTATTTAAAAATAATAAATTTTTAAAATTATTTATTTAGTTGAGAGGCAGAATTACAGAGAGAGGAAGAGACAGAGAGAGAGGTCTTCCATCTACTGGTTCACCCCCCAAATGGCCACAATGGCCAGAGGTGGGCTGATCTGAAGCCAGGAGCCAGGAGCTTCTTCCAGGTCTCCCACGTGAGTGCAGGAGCCCAAGCAATTTCCCAGGCTGTAAGCAGAGAGCTGGATCAGAAGTGGAACAACTGGGACTCGAACCAGCACTCAGATGGGATGCTGGCGCTGCAGGCAGAGGCTTAACCTACTACACTACAGCACCAGCCCCAACAGAACAATTTTTTAAAAACTTCAAATGTATATAATATATAGTTCTCTTTTTTCTTTCCTCCCCCCCCCCCCGCCCCATCTCTCATTTGGTGGTGATAGGTGAGGAACTCTAACTCTAACGTTTAGACTATGTGACAGTCGGCCAGTTAGAGCAGGCCAGCTGCCTTGCAGAACTGCCTGGGTTTGGACACGCAGATTCGTCTTGGCCGACAAGCTCAGGTCTTATTTTCAAATCTCTGTTTTGCTTTCACTGGGGCAGAGTTTCTCAAGACACCGGCACTGAGCATTCTTTTTAGAGCAGATTCCTTGGCTCATGGATTAAGGCCCAAGAGGCTGTTTTCCTCACTTTGCTGCATCCCAGGTGGGTGCAGGAGGCAGGGATCAGCCCCCTCCCCCCTCCCTGTGTCAGCCACGCCCTCAGCTCCAGGCTTGTATCAGAGCATCCTGAGAACTGGGTTCCGGGCGTGGAGTGCAGCTGAAGCCCAGGGAAGGCCCTGGCCCTCCCCAGCAGAAGCATTTGGAAATTTCCACCCTCAAGAGGGGATGGAAATATTGGCTTTGTTGACACCAGCTCCTTGCCAGGCCCACTCCCTGGCTGAGGCTTCTTTTGGCAATCCCCACTCCCCCGGGGAATAAAGTCCAGTCTGGCTTTCCACTCTGCCCTGCCCTGCCACCCCTTCTCCCTGTAGACCCCAGGACCAGCTCCCTGTCCCAAGGCCTTGGCCCAACTCCGCATGTGCCCCTGGACTCTCTGCACCCCCTCCCCATCTTACCCTGAAGAGTTAAAGCTGGAGGAGGAGGTCACGGCTGCTTTGGAGTTATTTTGAGAGGCAGTGGGGCTGCTGGCATGGAGTCCTGAGCCAGGAGACGAAGGCCTGCTGTTGTTCCCAGGGGAACAGGATGACGTTACTGAGGACAAGAAGAGGCACAAACAAGGGGAAAACAATGCTGCTTGGTCCTCGGACCTTCTGACATGGCCCTCCGGGCACCGGACTTCCCGGTGCATCCCCAAAGGGACTTCACCCTCTCCCTGCCCACCACCCCTCTGTCTGTCTCCTGCCAAATTAGCAGCAATAGCCCTCCACCCATCCTCAGGAGGTGTCTCATCATGACTGCTGGCTGCAGCCCGGGCCCTCGAGAGCGGTGTGTCTGGTTCTACCAGTCCAAGACTTGCCAAACACAAGAAAGACAGAAGCCAAGATCATCCCTGCTCCAGGACACACCCTGGGCTGGGCGTACGCAGCCCTAAACCAAAGAGGCAAGAAGGGAGAATGAAAAAGAAGCTCAGGAAAGGGAAGAGAAGGGGAAAGAAAGAAAGGTGCATCGGGGAGAAGATCCCTGGAGCGCAAAGGTTGCCGGCCTCGGCGAGAACAGGTGTCTTGGTCTCGGGCCACTAGCTAAGCAGCTATGTCAACTTGCTTTACTTCTTGACACTCACTTTCATCCTTTGTAAAACAGCAGATTTGGACTAAAGGGAATGCTCATGTCCGGGTTTCCCAGATTCTGTTCCATAGATAGGGCAACATGTATTTTACCATTCAAATTAAAACTTAGAAAAATGACAGAGAGTATGTTGAGAACCATGTCAGGACCTGGAGCTGACACTGGGACCATTCTGGAGACACTTGAACAAATGATCACCTTTTGAGCCCCTTTAAAAATGCTATAGGAACCTTTTGAAAAATAGAGTTCTGGGGCCAGCATTGTAGCGTAATGGGTAAAACCACCGCTTGTAACACTGGCATCCCATATGGGTGCTGGTTCAAGTCCCGGCTGCTCCACTTCTGATCCAGCTCCATGTTGATCCACCTGGGAAAGCAGCGGAGGATGGCCCAAGTGCTTGGGCCCCTGCATCCATGTGGGGGACCTGGAAAAAGCTGACTGACCCAGCCCTGATCATTGTGGCCATCTGGGAAGTGAACCAGTAGATGGAAGATCTCTGTCTCTCCCTGTCTCTCTAAGTCTGACTTTCAAATAAATAAATAAATAAATCTTTTAAAAAGAGTATTATAGAAAATGAGCTTGGAAAGTCTTACCTTCCTTCAGCCTTCCATACAGCTCGTTTTGGAACATAGTGTGCATGGAGGGCTGAGGATAAGCACTGTAACTCGCACAGAACAAGCACACACGCTTGTTTAAACTGCTTACCATGGAAGCTACTTTTTCCCAGCACAGATCTTAGAGTCGGGCCCTGCTGACCTAGGCAGGTCTAGTCTTAGCAGTTCTAGTCTTATTCGGAACCCTCACTTCAAAGCTCACCTGTTCCCGTCATGGTGCTGTGCACAGGAGGGACCGAGAGGGGTCCCAGAGACCCCGAGGGAGAGACCTAAAAGGCAAGAGAAACTCGTGAATGTCCGTTCCTGCCCCTCCCTCCAACCTCGGGTGCCTCAGTGGTGCTGAGCTGTAGGCTCTACGGGGAGCAGGACTTAGTTCCCTCGGTGGTTTCCTAGCGCCAAGCCTGCACTCTGCCCTCCCTCATGGAGGGAGGCCTCCGGCCATCACAGGCACCCAGCTCCGGTTCCTGCCTGCTCTGGAAGCTCCCTGGCACTGACAGCTGCCCTCCCCTCCCTGTCCCTGGCAGGGCTGCTTTGGCACTGCCAGGCCACAGGCTGCCTGGCCTGAGTGCCCGGGCAGTGAGAGGAGCAGGCTTCCGGGACCCTGTTGTGGCGGACGCAGCTGGCCTAGCGCATTTCCCGTTCTTGCTCTCCCCTTCCTAAAAGCACTCTGCTTGTGCCCAGGGCAGCCCTGGCAACCACACTGCAGGCTCTCCCACCCCGATGGATGAATGAACGAACCACGGACTCTCTGGAGATAACTGGGGAACTTTAGTCTCTGATGCGTTTCCTGTTGCCCGGGAGACCACATTGCATCATCAAGTCTGAGATTAGAAAGGGACCTAAGATAATTGAGTTTAGCCTCCCATGCAATCTGGGAAGTGCTCTCTCACTGTGGCTATCCTTGAACCGCCTAAAACAGGTGGAGTGGAGAGAACAGACTTGAGCCGCACAGACCCGGGTGTGAGCCCTGGCTCCACCACTCCCTATCTGTGTGGCATTGGGCAAGTTACCTAGCCCTCTGAGATTTGTTTTCCTCATTGGACAAATGGCAGCGATGCTGCCTTTCTATTCTCTTAATTAAGATTTAACAAGCTAATGTCCACAGTGCTTGCAACCCAGTGGCTGGCGTACAGCACCTGCTCAGTAGGGGTCAGTCCCCTTCCATACAGAGGGGAGCCGCCCTCAGCCGCTGTGCACCTCCACACATCGCTGACCTCTGCTTTGAGCTGAGGTCTGCATGCACCCCCTCCGCTCCCCTCGTGGAAGCTCCCAGCAGCGTTTCCAGGGAACCCTGACAGGCAGGGAGCTGGGATTCCACAACGCTGGGAGATGCCCTGCGACAGGATGCGGCATGTCCTCAGCCGCTGATTAATCAGCAACGGTCTGGCCGCTTCCTTTCACAGTGAGCATCCTCAGTAGACTGGGGGCTCGTGATGGGTGGAGACAGGGGTGAGGCACAGTTCGGGAGGGGCGGCAGAGCGAGAAGAGAGATGTTATCGATAATTTCTCCCTCTCTCACCTCCTCCTTCCCTGCAGCCACACCCAAGAAGTTTGTTGCTGGTTTTAGATAAGTAATAAGGTATTTAGTCACTGTGACCAGCTTCTTCTTCCGCGCCTCCACGCAAGTGCACACGCAATCCGGATCCCCTTTGCTCTTCATATGGATGGTAGCACTCTGCTCACGCTGGTCCCACTAGTGTAACTCCTTTCCCTGCCTTGATGACAGCTCTTGGCGATGATGTCACATCAGAAGCAGAAGAAAGTATGTCCCAGTCCCTTCTCTGTCGTCTCCCTTCACGATATCCAATAGGGCAAGGGTTTACTTCACGCCTTTCTGCCCTATCAGGCTGATGACGTCATGTGGGTGCCTTCCCCAGGGCATGGGCCTTCGGGAGTGTTTAGTAAGCGTGCTGATAACCACGGAGGCTCCTTTACGGCCCCTCTATGCCCCCTACCATTATCTCCACGTTGGTGTCCTGGGTTAGAACTGAACCAAAGTGAGACCCTGCCTCCCATCTGCTCTAACCAAGGCCCCATCTTTACAGCTCCCATGAACCAAGTTCCTTCACGTGGCACACAGCCCTCTGTGTGATCCACCCCCTGCCCACCGCTCCAGACCCCTCATGCACACTCCCAGTCACTCCCTGGCTTCCGGTCCTCTCCAGCCCCTCCATGCTTCCCACCATATCCCCCAGCCTCAAAACCTCTGTACAGACAACTTGCTCCATCTAGAATGTTCTTGTCTAACTTGCTCCCCCCAGCCCCTCCTCAGCTCAGACACTCCCCCCGCCCCCGACATCAACGGTGACAGTCATCTTTCTGGTGTCACTTTAAGCATGATTCCTCAAAGAAGCCCCTGGTGCTGTGGACTGAGCTGGGTTCTCTGAGAGGTTAATCACAGAAACCATGTTTGTTGTGTCTGTTTTCTTTGACACGACCCCTAGTGTCAAACACACAGTGGACACTCAGTGAAAGTTTAAGGAGGAAATGATGGGGGCTGGCGCTGTGGTTAGATGAAGCCACCACCTGCAGCACTGGCATCCCGTATGAGTCCCGGCTGCTCCACTTCCATCCAGCTCCCTGCTAATGAGCCTGGGAAAGCAGCAGAAGATGGCACAAGTCCTTACGCCCCTGCACCCATGAGAGAGACCCTGGCTCCTGGCTTCAGCCTGGCCCAGTCCTGGCCGTTGTTCCCACTTGGGGAGTGAACTAGCTGATAAAAGATTCTCTCTCTCTCTCTCTTTCCTTCTCTCTCTCTCTCTCTCTCTGTGTATCTATACCTTTCAAATAAATAAATAAATAAACATTTTAAAAAAGAAACTATAAATGAATATCAAGTTACATCCAATTTATTTATTTATATTTATTTATTTATTTATTTATTTATTTATTTATTTTGGACAGGCAGAGAGGACAGTGAGAGAGAGAGACAGAGAGAAAGGTCTTCCTTTGCCGTTGGTTCACCCTCCAATGGCCGCCACGGCCAGCGCGCTGCTGCCGGCGCACCGCGCTGATCCGATGGCAGGAGCCAGGTGCTTTTCCTGGTCTCCCATGGGGTGCAGGGCCCAAGCACTTGGGCCATCCTCCACTGCACTCCCGGGTCACAGCAGAGAGCTGGCCTGGAAGAGGGGCAACCGGGACAGAATCCGGCGCCCCAACCGGGACTAGAACCTGGTGTGCCGGCGCCGCTAGGCGGAGGATTAGCCTGTTGAGCCGCGGCGCCAGCCTACATCCAATTTAAAATATGGCAGGTACTCGGGCCCCTGCCACCCTTAGGGGGGGGACCAGGATGAAGTTCCTGGCTCCTGGCTTCAGCTTGGCCCAGACCTGGCTGTTGCAGCCATTTAGGGAGTGAGCCAGTGGAAAAACCTCTCCCTTTCTCTCTTTCTTTCTTTCTCTCCCTCCCCCTTCTCCTTATAGCTCTGCCTTTCAAAATATATAAATAATCATAAAAACAGAAAAAGAAATCACCACTTTTGCCCACTCCTAAACAAGCTCCCTTCCTTTGCTTGTTCCAGAAAGGACACTACCGTGCACCCCACGATCCAGTCACTTTTAGGGTGGTTTAGCATCCATGGCCCATCACAACCCAGCCCTACTGAACTTCTCAAAGCTTTAACCTCAGCTCCTGCTGGACGGAAATGCACGGGAGTCCCCAAAGGTGTCACGTCACCTTATAACCGCATGGCTTCTCCCATGCTATTCCTGCGGCCTGGAAGCTGCTCTCGCGAATTCCTAATGTGTCTTCAAACACGCTGGGGTCCCCGTTCCGGCTGCGGCGTCTTTCACCCTTGTTCCAAAGCAGCACTATCTGGCTCACCGCAGTCCAGCGCCTCTCGTATCTACCTGGTCACAGTTTCACCCCTTTTTGGGCTCCTCCTCCTCACTTTTTTTTTTTTTTTTTTGACAGAGTGGACAGTGAGAGAGAGAGAGACAGATAGAAAGGTCTTCCTTTGCTGTTGGTTCACCCTCCAGTGGCCACTGCGGCCAGCGCTTCGCGCTGATCCAAAGCCAGGAGCCAGGTGCTTCTCCTGGTCTCCCATGGGGTGCAGGGCCGAAGGACTTGGGCCATCCTCCACTGCACTCCCGGGCCACAGCAGAGAGCTGGCCTGGAAGAGGGGCAACCGGGACAGAATCCGGCGCCCCGACCGGGACTAGAACCCAGTGTGCCGGCGCCGCAAGGCGGAGGATTAGCCTGTTGAGCCACGGCGCTGGCCATCCTCACTTTCTTGTCTCCATTCTCTCCTTTGCTCATGCTGCCAGCGCTGGAGCTGCCCAGGGTTTGGACACAGATCTTTTTCTTTGCTTCCTCCATACAAACTCCACCGAAGAGCTCCTGCTAACCCGGGATTCCAACAACGACCCACATGCTTCCGATTTCCCAATCCAACCCAGCTTCTCTCCTGACCTCCACATTCCTAAGACCAAACACCTAAGGACATTCCCACTTGGGTGTCCTGCAGGCCACACTGTACATCACCAGGTGTAAATCACTGAAATCAGCGCTTTAGGGGCTGATGCTGTAGCGCTGCAAGTTAAGCCACAGGCAAGCTGGAGTCCCAGCTTCCTGCTGACGGGCCTGGGAAGGTAGCGGAGGAAGGCCCAGGTGCTCCGGCCCCTGCCAGCCTGTGGGAGAACCAGATGAAGTTCCTGGCTACTGACTTCCACCTGGCCCAGGCCTGACTGTCTCGGCCATTTAAAGAGTGAACCAGTGGAAAATCTTGGCTGGTGCCACGGCTCACTAGGCTAATCCTCCGCCTTGCGGCGCCGGCACACCGGGTTCTGTCCCGGTTGCCCCTTTTCCAGGCCAGCTCTCTGCTGTGGCCAGGGAGTGCAGTGGAGGATGGCCCAAGTGCTTGGGCCCTGCACCCCATGGGAGACCAGGAAAAGCACCTGGCTCCTGCCATCGGATCAGCGCGAAGCGCCGGCCGCGGCGGCCATTGGAGGGTGAACCAACAGCAAGGAAGACCTTTCTCTCTGTCTCTCTCTCTCTCACTGTCCACTCTGCCTGTCAAAAAAATAAATAAATAAAATAAAAATAAAAGAGTGAACCAGTGGAAAATCTCTCTCTTTTTTCTCTTTTTCTCTGTCTCCCTCCCTCCTCCTCTTTCTGTAGCTCTGCCTTTCAAAATAAATAAATCATAAAAATGGAAAAAGAAATCATCACTTTTTCCCACCCCCAAACAAGCCCCTTCCTTTGCTTGTTCCAAAAATGGCACTGCTGTGTACCCCACCGATCCAGTCTGAACACTGAGGGTCTAAGGATTCTCTTTCCCTCGCCACCCAGACTCACCAAGCTTTCCAAGGATTACTTGACCCTCTCCCTTCCCCTCATTCTTCCCACGTGGGTTCCCTCTTTCCTCCTCTACTGGATAACTGCAGCAGCACCTTAACTGTTCTCCCTGAAACCTGTCTGGTGCCTCTCAAGCCACTCCTTGTGCTGTAGTCGGAGTGGATCATTCCACAAAGCAAATCTGACCATGCCGGCACCCTGCTGAAAATCCTCCCGTGATCCCCCCAGTCCATCAGTTCTCTGGCGCCGCACACCGTCCCTTTGAGATCTGGCCCTGCCCGTCTGTCCAGCCTCATCTTGCACGTGGATGTGTTCTCCTGGCTCCATCCCACTCTTCCCGTCTTTTGCCCTGGTGAGAGCTCCACCCACACTTCCTTGCCTCTTGCTCCCTCTTGTCCTGTAGACTCAGGGCAGGCGTTAATTACCTCCCCGGGGAAGTCCTCCCTCACCACCGCCTCCAAAGGTTTGCCAGCTCTTGCTCCCAGCATCTCCTAGAGAGACGATCATGGTGCTTACCATTTGTTTATCTGTCTGCGTCTTCTGCTAGCGTGGTGAGAGGACAGACACTGGTGTTTTGATGCAGCAGCTACGTCCCCCTCTGATGAGGCTGAACCTCACCCAGCCCTCTCCCTTACCCTTCTGTGTGCTCTACATACTTTACACGTACCATCTATTTGCATCTTTTATGAGCTGTTTGCTCCTCCCCACTCCCCAGCAGTCCCCACCCCAGGAGGGAGACGCCTCTGCTCCCCAGGCATCGTGCACCCTGGTGCCCAGTGGGCAGCACTCACCAGCCGGGAGTTGTAGATGGGTGGTTTGATGGGTGTGGCCACAGGGCAGTTGATCCGCTTCTCCTTTTGACGCCGGTTGCAGAACCAGACCCTCACCACCTCCTTCTCCATGGACAGCTGCTCAGCAATCATGGAGATCTCTTCTGAGCTGGGTTTGGGGTTCTATAAAGGCCCAGCGGACAGAGCGTGGTCAGGAGAGGGCAACTGGGTCAAGAAGCAGAGGTGAGGGACAGATGCTCCAAAGGAGCAGGCTAGAATCATATGTGGATCGAAAGCTTTCGAGTCAGACCTAGGATGGAACACTGGCTTTCACTCTTCCTTGCTGTGTGTCCTTAGGAAACTTTCTTGACCTCTCTGAGCCTCAGTCTTATCTATGAAAATAGCAGCACCTACCACGAGGGTTATTGTAAAGATTTAATGAGAAATGCGTGTCAACTGTCAAGCACGGGGCCGACAGAGCAGAGGCTCCGTATCCGTGAGATGGCTTCTCCAGGCGGCTCTCTACAGAGAAGTCTGTGGCGAGTAACGGGGGGCAGGCAGAGCCCTCAGGATCCGTGCTCCCCTGTGTTCTTTCCTCATAGCCCGATCTCCTCCCTTGTCCGCTTCTTCCTGACCTCCCGCTTCAAAAGAGGACCTGAGAGAGGTAAATCGTGTGGTCCCTTCAAGACTGTGGGAAAGACAGACTGGCCAAGGCTGTCACTCGCTGGCTCTGGCCCCGCCCTCCTGGCCTTTGATCTTAGCTCCCGCCCCCGACTCCTTCACCCTCCTTCCACCCTGCTGCTCTGAGCATCCTGAAGGCAGCAGCGCCTGTGTTCCCTGCCTGGCCGCCATCTTGACTCCTGCTTCCAGCTTCCTGCTGATGCAGACCCTGGGAGGCGACAGCAGTGCTCCAGGGATTGCTTCTGCGACCCCAGGTGGAGACCTGGGCTCAGTTCCCAGCTCCTGGCTCAGCCGGGGCCGGGGTGGGGACTGAGGGAGTGAACCAGCGGATGGCAGCTCTCTGCGTCTCTCTGTGGCCAATAAAGAATTTTTCTTTTATAAAGAAAGGAAAACCTGCTTCAGCAGGGTGTGGCAGTAAAAGCCCTGTGACAGTTGCTCTGGGCCCTGCAGAGGCTGGACAAGGCCAAGGGCCCTCTAGAGCTTTGGAGGCGGGGCCCTGAAGGGCGGCGTCCGAGAGCTGTTTAGACCGCACCTCCTTCCCCTCCTCCCTCCCCCAGCCCCCACATAGTGGTTCAAGAATATGCTCCTGGGGCTGAAGCTGTGGCACAGTGGGTTAAGCCATGGCCTGCAGCACCAGCATCCCATAAGGGTGCTGGTTCAAGTCCCAGCTGCTCCATTTCCGATCCAGCTCACTATTAATTCACCTGAAAAAGCAGCAGAAGATGGCTCAAGTGCTTGGGCCCCTGCACCCTGGGAGACCCGGATGAAGCTTCAGCTTCCTGGCTTCGGTCTGGCCCAGTCCCAGTCGTTGAGGGCTATTTGGGGAGTGAACCAGAGGATGGAAGATCTCTCTCTCTCTCTCTCTCTCTCTTCCCCTCTCTCCCCTTTTCTCTCTCTGTAACTCTGACTTTCAAATAAATAAAAATCTTTAAAAGAACACAGAACATGCTCTTGTTACATGTTCAAAGACGTGTAGGTCTACAGTATGCTCACAAGTATTGAAATATGCACGGAAAAAAAAGAATAGAAAGAAACGCATTCAGGTGGTATTTGGTGATAAAATCATCTTTCTTCTTCCCCGCAATTTTCCAATCTGAGCATTCACTACACTGCTAATTTGAAAGAGAAAAAGTGTTCCTGGTAGGGGACAGAGAGTTCACACACAATGCCCCGGGCCTTGCTCCATTCACCTCAGTTGGGTAGAGAGACCCACCTTCTTCTGAAACTCTAAACCCCAGGCTTTAGATCTCCCAGGGAGGGGGACAATGGGCCCCCTAATAGACATCAGGACAAGGAGGGTCAGCAAGGGAAGATGTCCCTGGGACGTCAGATGAAGGTTATAGGGAGTCAACACGGGACACCTCAGATGTCCCATTCACATCCCTGGAGCTCAGAGAGGGAGGGTGTCTGCATTTCCCAGGGCAAGGTGTGGCGAGGGGGGAGAGAGTTGGTGTGCAGGGGCCTGCGTGGTCCTCTGGCCCTGGCATGTAACGTGCCTGCAGGTGCACCTGTGTGGGCTGGCCCACCCACTCCCACCCACAAAAGCCGCTCACATCTTGAAATCTCTTCTCCAGAGTCAGGCGGATGTTGGTCTCGATGCTGGTCCGTTTCTTCCTCTTCCTCCCGAAGACTTCGCTGAGAGTGGGGTAGGAGCTGGGCGTGCTCACCGAGGGGTCTGATGGAGAGGACTCTGTAGGGAGACAAGGGAGCGAGGGGCGCTCAGAGGCGGCCATGAGGGGCCGGCTGGGGCCCTGTCTCGATGGCCCTGAGGTCCGAGAGCCCTTCCCGCTGGGCTGTGCAGTGGCGTACTCAGGACCAGCCCCCTCCCCCGGCAGGGGACCCAGAACAGACCGAGAGTCCTGCTTCTCCTCGTTGCTCTGGGCAAAGCTCCTCCGGGACTCCCACCGCGGAGTCTCCGCTGTGTGCGGTCATGGTCCAGGGAAGCCCAGGCATCGGCGGCATGTGTGGGTGTGAGTGGGTGCAAGCAGAGCTCCGAAAAGCAACACTCGGGAGTCTGTGTTTTACAAATAGGCCTGCATGTGAATACCGAGGAAAATGTGAAATGGCATTTTGAGCCAAAAGCCCCGGCTTTGGGTGCAGAATGTTGGTGCTGGAGCCCCTTTCTTGTGAGTGCAGATGTTGGCTCTTTAGCCTGTGACGACAGAGGGGACAGCCCTTGGGCATCCGTGGGGGGACCACACTAACAGTGACCTACCAGGCCCTCTCCCAAGGAGCCAAAGAATTTCTGGTCATTTCGCCTACTTCAGTCTGGTCTTAGGGTCCTCCTATTGCGACAGGGTGGGGTGGGGGTGGTTTCCTGGTTCCTCCTGTGTCTCTGTCTGGACACACTGCCCTGGCTGCCCGCCCTGCCCTGAAAGCACTCGCCTAAGTAATCACTAATCCACACGCATTCGCTGGCCACAGCCCAGCCCTGGGGACTGCCCCGCCTCCTCCTTCTCACCTAGGCTAGTGGCTCTCAGCCAGGGGCCCCTTGGTACCACTACCACTTGCCCTGGGGACACTTGGCAGTGTCCGGAGGCCTTTTCGGTGGTACCGACTGGGGGCAGTGCTGCTGGTAGCTACTGAGTAGGGATCAGGGATGCTATCCTACAAGGCACTGGCCAACCCTGAATGGGCATAAATGGAGGCTGAGACTCTCTGTCCCACGCCAGTTCTAGGCACCAAACTCAGCTTCCTTGCTGCAAACTTTGCCCCTTGGTTTACCTCCTTGACCCCCTAGCAGGTCTCCCACCACGAGTGGGGCTGAAGCCTCCTGCCAACCCCACTCCTGCTGCAAGACTTTCCCCACCTAACAAACCTACAAGAGCTAAGCAGGTAAAGACCTCGTGTTGTGCCTGCAGTCTCCCCTTCCCACCGAGACCCTGGACGGCCCACTGCCCAGCCTGCCTCACATAGATCTGTTCTAGACAGGAGTCTGGCTAAGTGTGTGTGCCGGGCAGACCCAAACTCCGCTTCAGGACAGCTGTCCTAAGGCCTGCCTTGGGCGAGTCTGGGGTAGGAACTGGAACAAGGCAAGGAGTCATGGCCCCAGACCTAATGCCTGGCTCCCAAAGGGCTTTCTCGCTCACAGCGCTGACAGTTGCACCTCCACTTGCCTGTCTGCTCTGACTTATCTCTTGGTGGGTTCTAGACACAAGAACGGGAAGAAAGGAGTGTCCCATGTTGACTCCCTATAACCTCAGCACAGACAGGTCCCTGGGTCCTTCCCACAGAATCCTCTCTAGGGCCCCGTGCATCCTGTGTGTCCCTGTGCGTCCCATGGGTGCCTACCTGCATCGTTCAGCCACTTCTCCAGCAGTGGCTTGAGCTTGCACATATTCTTGAAGCTCAGATTGAGGGCCTCAAAGCGCGAGATGGTCGTCTGGCTGAAGTCATTGCCATACAGCTTTCCCATGGCCAGCCCCACGTCTCCCTGTGCGTGGGGACGGAGAGGCAGGAGCATGAGACACAGGCTCCCCTCCTCTGCCCCGGCCCCTCACCTGTCATTCACAACACACCCAGAATCTTCAGGTACCTGCCCATCGCCCTTTCTCCCTTGTGGGTGGAGTGCTGGTTCATCGTATCCCCGGACTCTCAGGGGGCCAGATCCTCCTTGCCTGGCTCCCATTCCTCTCCCCTCCACCAGCAACTTCCTCACTTCCCCTCCTAATCCCAACTACGCCTCAGAGACACGAGGGGCTTGTCCCAAACCCATGGAGCCATGGCTTGCTCTTGACACCTGCCCTTGGGAGGCGCTGCCTCCTCTCGCTCACCCAGCTCACTGTCCTCCATCTCCTTCCCCCCAAAAGCCAAACCTGTGTGAAGCCCAGCTTAATGCGCCTTTGCTTGAAGGTCTTGGCGAACCTCTCCAGCTCCTCCAGGTCACTGGGCTCGTCGGGCCCCGCAGAGGTGGGCAGGTGCTTGGGCACTGGGAGATGCTGGGAGGTTTCCAGGTGGGGATCTAAGGAGGAGCCTGGCAGCCCGGGGCGCCCAACGGCCTGGTAGGGGAGACAAGCCGAGCAGATCCGCAGGGATTCAGCAATGGGTCAACAGCACTGCGGGGCAGTCCTCACTAACGGGCCACTCAGGATGGCGGAGCCCTGGGCCACTGGAGGCCGACTGCTCAGTGGCGTGCGAGTGGAAACTGGGTTTCTGTGGGCCATGTGGGGCAGAAACAGCAGGGGTGCCAGGTGGGAGGTGGCCTGGCTGGGTTTTAGTCTGGCACTCGCCAGGTTACTTCCTCCTTTCAGTTTCCCTCCCTAAAAGGCACTAACAGGGTTGTTGACAAAGATTCCAGTAACAAATCTCAGAGTGGGGCGGGGAGAACACTGTCTGCCTCGCCGGTCCTTTTCCACGGAGCATGGAAGCCTGAGGTGGCCATCAGGCCCCAACTGGAGGTGACGAGAAAGTGAGGGAACCCCCGTGGAGTTCCACTGGCCTCTGAGTGCCAGGTTGGTTACCTGACTCCCAGCACCACTGCTGCCCTTCACGGGACTTTCTGCTCTACATCAAGGGCATCTTCATTAGTCCCATCTACACGCACCTTGCTCTCCGTTGTGGTTGCCTGGAGACAGTCTTTCTTTAGCTTATTTGCATAAGAACTTGTGCCCTTAACCCTAGAAGCTTGCAGTACCCATTTGGGGGTGAGGAGTGAAGGCATCTATCATTGCATTGGTGATGGAGTGGAATCCAGGCCTTGGGGGCCAGGCCCTGGGGCCAGGGCCGAGGTCACTGCCCACGTGGGGAACGGGAGCGAACTCCAGCTTCCCCCTCCTTCCCAGGCTGCTCTTCCGCTGGAGGGGAGTTAACTGCTGTCTCCCGAGACGTTCAGGCTTGCCATGTAGATGGGCGTCCTTATGATGAAGAAGGTAGGATGAGGGAGACGGTGTGGGCGCTCTTCCCTTTGAGAACAGAATGGTTTCAAAGCACCACAGATTCTCTCCTGTCTGGGGAGGAGAGGGTGGCATAGACCAGACCCTCAGGACGAAGCCGGGCTTCCTTGAACCCGCCTCTCCACTTGCCTCTTTCCTTTGACAGATACTCACTGAGGTCTCTGCTAGACCTCCTCCCCCTGCCTTCACACGCAGTCTGTTGTCAAATGGCACCAGTGTGACTTTCCTCGCTCACCCCCTCCTTTATTGCCCTCCCCCATGACCATCTCAGTCTTCTAAACAGCCTCGTGGCCCCAGTGTCGCCATGCTTGGATATTCTAAGACATGAGAGCTGATCTTGAACACTCTCTAGGGTTTCTTGCGGCTCTAAGTCTGTGATTCTGAGGTTGGGGGCAGAGCGGTGTGCCACTTTCTTCCAACCACGAGGTGGCGCCATCGCCCTGCCAGGTGTCTTCTGCGGGCTGGAAGGCCAGGGCTCTCACTGAGCTGCGGGATCTTGGCCTGGGGCTGGGGCGCTCTGATCACTGCAGTCGTCCCCGACCATCCCGGGCATCCATGTGGGCAGTGCCATCTGTGGAGCCGAGCAACGTTTCTCGTTGCACAGGGGCCCCTGGACGCAGAAGGGAGGGGCGGCTAAGCTGTCGGGCAGCTGTGCAGACCACACACGTGTCACGGTGCCTGGGGCCTTGACGTTGCTTCCAGAAGGAATTCAGGAGTGAGTGGGAGAAGAGTGAACAGCACACACACTCCCCAGAGTGGGGCACACTTGGCGGGGAGTGGCCCTGGCTCTGAGCTGTGTTTAACATTCTATGGGTCCTTTAATGAAAGGGCAGGTACATTCTAATTAATAACGGGGAGGAATGTTCATGTTTCTTTCTGGGAAGTAGGTGGAGAGTTCCCGGAATCCAGCCGCCACCCCTTTTCACTCCTTACATGGTCCGGTGCGTCCTGCTGCGGTGGCTGGTGGGTGTGTCCTCTAGCAACGCTTAGGTACTACATTGAGCACAGAATGAGCTGTTGGTTACTCTGGGTCAGCCATGGCCCCCTAAACTGGCATGAGCCTGGTCCACACAGGAGATCTGCTTATTTTCTGAGCAAGGGGAACCAAACCCATATCCTGGGGGGTCTTGAGATAAGAGGGACTGCTGTCTTCTTTGGCCTCCCTGGAATGGAGACCCCGGGTGGGAGACACTGTGTGTGCTGTCTGAGACATGGTGCCTGTGGTGATCAGGCCCTCCGGGGCTTGAGAGCATCTATGGGAAGCTGGGAAGCTGGCCGAGCCCTGGTTCCCGAGGGGAGAGGTTTGGGTCTGCTGGGGACGGGAGCTGAGAGCCTGCAAGTTGGACTGTCTGGGCTCCCGTTTACCCCACTTGTCACTTGGATCCCCCTCCCATGTGCCAAAGGGACGATTCCTTGCCATTACCTCTCCCCAGAGGGGCTAGAGCCCTAGAAAAACCAGGGAGCTTAACTGTACCCAGAGCAGAGACAGTGCTAGAGGCCTGGGCCGTGGAGGTAGGGGTGCGGCTGTTTACCTGGGATGCAAGGCCAGGCCCAGTCTGCTGCGGGAGGAGGAGGCTCCCTTGTTGCTGTGGAAAGGGGAGAAGATTTGGCTGCAGACCTGCATGAAAGAGGAGGGACAAAGGGACAGTGAATAAAATCCAGGCCTGAGAAAGATCCGTTCAGCCACTCTGGCATCGCGATAACAGCCCTCCCCCCGCCCCGCCCCGCCCCATCCCAGCCCTGCAGAGAGGCCCCCTCGGGCACAGCCTGGCATTGCCACACACAGGTGGAGTCAAAACAGACGCAGGGATAAACAGACACGTAAACAACCATTCCCAAACCAGTCCTGCTGCTTGCCCGTGGCCTGGAGAGGCACAAAGGCTGGGGAGGGTCAAGTCTGCTGGGCATCTGATGAGGGTTCCGGTGCTCCTGCAGGGGACACAGCTACAGAGGCCCAGCTGAGTTTGCAAGGACATCAGGCCGAGCAGGTGGGGCCGCACAGCCCCACAGACCAGAGAGGACATTTTATTCCTGCGGGCAAAGAACTGAGGGAGAGGGGGTGACCAGGACTGGGCGGGGCACACTACACCTGCTGCTGCACTACTTGGGCACCAGCTCCTTCCCTCCCCAGGAAAACCGTCCACGAAGGGCTCGGCCTGTTTGGTGGCCATGACAGGTGGCCTCCCCTTTCAGAAGGCCTCAGCCAGGACCTCACTCTCACAGCAAGAGCGGGGCCAGCTGAATATCAAGGCAGACGGTATGGCAAGACACCCCAGCCACTCAGCACAGAGAAGCCCCTGGGAGTCTCTGTGGCCCCCAGGCTGTTTGGGTCACTGACGTAAAGCACTGGTTGATGGTAACCTTTGTGCCCTTCAGGCTCCAAAAGTCAGAGCTTGATTGGTTTTCATTATAATAAACAGGCAAGGGACTGGCTTTATGGCACAGTGGGTAAAGCTACTGCCAGCAGTGTCAGCATCCCATGTGGGTGCTGGTTCGAGTCCCAGCTGTTCTACTACTCATCCAGCTCCCTGCTAATGTGTCTGGGAAAGCAGAGGAAGATGGCCCGGGTACGTGGGCCTCTGCACCCATGTGGAGACCTGGAAGAAGCTCCTGGTTCCTGGCTTTGGTCTGGCCTAGCCCTGGCCATTGTAGCCATTTGGGGAGTGAACCAGCAGATAAATGATTTCTTTCTCTCTCTTTCTGTAACTTTGTCTTTCAAATGAATAAAATAAATCTTTAAAAATAAAATAAAATAACCAGGCAGGGATAGGCATTGTGGCACAGTGAGTTAAGCCTACAGTGAGAGGCCGGCCACCCTGTATCACAGCGCAGCCTCAAGTCCTGGCTGCTCTGCTTCTGATCCAACTTCCTGCTGATGCACCCACTAATGATGGCCTGAGTACTAGGGTCCCTGCCACTAATGTGAGTGAGCTGGTGAATTTCCAGCTCTAGCTGTTACAGCCATCTGGGGAGTGAACCAGCAGATGGAAGATCTCTCGCGCTCTCTCTCTCTGCCTCCATCCCACTCTGTAACTCTGCGTTTCAAATAAAATAAATAAATCTTTAAAAAAAAGATTTATTTACTAATTTATTCAAAAGGCAGAGTTACAGAAAGAAGGAGAGACAGATAGAGAGAATCTTCCATCCAGTGGTTCACTCTGCAAACGGTCGCAATAGGCAGAGCTGGGCCAGACCAAAGCCAGGAGCCAGGAGCTCCTCTTCTAGGTCTCCCAACGTGGGTGCAGGGACCCAAGCACTTGGGCCATCTTTCGCTGCTTTCCCAGGTGCATTAACAGGGAGCTGATCAGAAGTGGAGCAGCCGGGACTCAAATGGACACCCCTATTGGATGCCAGTGTCATGGGTGGCAGCTTTGGCGGCTTTACTGGCTATGCCACAGTGCCAGCCTCATAAATAAATATTAAAAATACAATAAAAAATATGCAAGAAAGCTCCCAGAAGGAACTTGGAATCCAGAGGCTTGAGAACTAAGAGCAATTCTAATATTTATATTGCATTTTGAAATGGACTAATCCTTTTTACGTGCATTACTTCAAGTAACACTGAATAATTTTACAAGGTAGAGTTTTATGATTACCCATTTTTATAGAAGAAGACCAGAGAGATTAGAAAAGTTTCCCAAGGAAACTAGAAAGTGATTTTTTTTTTTTAGCCCCTGAGTTTTTCTGATTCCATTTCTCCCCACTGTGTCCCACTGAGTGTCAGCTGCCACTGGTACAATCCCAGGGCAAAGATACAATCAAGGGATTTCCTCCAGCACCAGCCAACAGGTCCTGGCCCCGCTGCCGACTCCAGATTTTGAACTTCCCTTTCTTCACCCCTTGTGTCCGACACGACCTCACTGGTTACGCGGCTAGGCCATTTTCACACCATTCTCCAGCCTTCTGAAAACAAACTGTGCGGACTGCTACCTTCCCTTTCTTCATCCAGGGCGTGCGGCGTGTTGTTCAGCCAAAGCAAATCTTAGAGATCGGAGGATGCCCTCATGCTGCTAGTCTGAGCGTCCTGGAGACTAAGGTGAGGGACTGTGTGCCAGCAAGGGCAGGGAGGGGGGCTAGGCCCGCTCGGCCTGGACTCTGGATTCCCCAAGCCTCCACTTGGGATCTGTAGCACACAGGGCTTGATGCCTCCTTCTCTCTTGGCCCTAGTTGGCAGGGATGGGAGTGGGAGAGGCATCTAGGGTGCTGGCCAAGAGTATAGCATCATTCAGAATGGTCTGGAACTTTTTTTTTTTAGAGATTCCTTTATTTATTAAAGAGAGAAAGTTGCAGAGGGGGAGGAGGAAGCTCCTATCCGCTGGTTCCCTTCCCCCATGGCCACAACAGCCAGGGCTGGTTCAGGCTGAAGCCAGGAGCCCAGAACTCTGTGTCTCCCACGTAGGTGGCAGGGGCTCAAGCACTTAGGCCATGCCCAGCTGCCTCCCCCGGCACATTAGCAGGGAGCTGGATCGGAAGTTGGAGCAGCTGGGACTTGAACTGATGCTCTGATGTGGGATTCTGGCAGTGCAGGTGGCGGCTTAGCTTGCCGTGCCGCAATGCTGGCCTGGTGCTTCCAGGCCACTAGAGGCATCCTACTCATAGAGTACCTACCGTACAGAGTTATCATGAAGAGGAAGTCGAAAGCCACTCAGCAGAGCTCCTGGCTCATGAAGCCTGAGAAATGTTACCTCCTGTTAGGAATGGTTGACTCTGCTTGCTCCTGGCCAGGGCGTCACTTCCCAGCAACAGAAAACTTGCAACTCTCTCTGCAGCCTGTAGGTGGCACTGCTGCTCTAACGCAACAGAATCCCAGGCAGGCTTCCAGGAAGACAAGGTTTGAGTGGGGAGCAGGAGAGGGACTTGTCCATACCACATGTCCCAGGGGCTTCTGCTTCCTTGTCCTGCCCACCACCACTCCGTCTCAACTCTGTGAGATGGGGCAGGTGGGGCAACTGAGCAGGAGCCTTCACACCAGAGAAGTGGGCGACTCTCCCTGCCCCGCTCTCTGCTCACCCAGCGAGCAGCAGCAACAGCCCTTCACTGGCCCTGGGTTCCATGGACCTGCCAGGCTCCTTACCTTGCTGCCCAGGCTGGGTCTGAGAAAGTAGGAACTGGGACACGGACTGCAGGTGGCCGGGAACCAGCACGAGCTGCTGGAGCGGGTGGAGGGAAGCCATGTCCTGCACATGGGGAGATGGGCACACGTCACACAGTTTATAAGCTGGGGACACTGCTGCACCTGCCCGCCACCCATCTGTCCCGTGGGTCTCCGGGCTGGGAGAGCCTGCGCAGGGTCCCTAGTGCCTCTAGTAGCTACTCCATTAGCTCTGCTGTCCTTACAGCTCCGCCTCAGCCCAGAGGTCGTTGCAACATACTGTTACTTAACTCTGGCTGCACAAGTTAATTGGAGCGTGCCAGTCCTGTCTCCCATCTAGACTGTAAATGCCCTGAGGGCTGAGACTGGCTATTACCCATGGCTCAAAAGTTTATCCTAGAAATGGCTGGCACTCTCAATTGTCCTCTAAAAAAAAAAAATCACATGCCACTTTTTGGTGCTAAAAGCCACGCTTTGGCCACTTCCCATGCCTGAATCTTTTCCTGGAGGGTACTGGGGTGGGAGTTATGGGGCAGGGCAAGCTGTCAGTCCTTCATCCAGCCAGGCTGATGAAACAGAAAGCCCGTTTCCTCTGTGTTTCTCCCTCTAGCTCAGGTCATGGGAATATCACGAATAGTGACCCCCATACGTGGGTGGGGGCGGGGGGTCATCTGCCATGCAGACCCCAGGGCTTAGTTCTGTGTCCAGGGAGATGATGTGGGAACTCCTGCTGGGGGAGGAGGGGCAGGAACAGGCCCGGGGGAAGCACTTGGAATAGGAGGGGCTCTTGCTTCTGCAGTGTAGCTGCTGGGAGGGGGCCACACACTGGAGTGCTGGAGTGGAGGCTTTGCTGTCACTGTGTCAGCAGGCTGCCATCTCCCCCGCTGCTCAGGCTTCCACGTGCAGCCCTGGGGGGAGGGGGGGGAGGCAGAGCAGGCCCACTGGGAACTCCATCAAGGATTCTCCTGGAATGTGGCTGGCAGACACCTGCTGCCCAGCGCGAGGTCCCTTGCTTTGGCAAGAGTGGCTGCTTCACACCCTGCTCTGCGCCTCGCCTTTAAGAGGAGTGCTTTGGAACCCCACTCCACCCCCAGAGCTCCGCAATCTCCCCCCCACCGCCGCCCACCGGCCACCCTGTCCCCAGCTCAGTGGGGCTCCCGGCCCTGGGGCTTACCCCAGACATTTGGTTTCCGGACATCATGGCAGGTCCTTGACTCAGGTGGCATGGCCGGTGCGAGAGGGTCTGCTGCAGGGAGTCACTGAGGTCCTCCGTTTTAATCTGCAGGGGGAGGCAGGAGGAGAGGGTGGGCTCTCAGGCAGACAGAAGCGCAGACGTGCCAAAGATCGCGGCTGGCGAGGCAAGTGCTAGCCCCCTGCCCACTGGGCTGCCGCTGGATTTCCCTGCGCCTGTGTGCCCTTTGCCCAGGGCGGCTGGTCAGGGACATTGTGGGGGTCGCACCAGGAGGACCCCTCTGCAAGCTGGGGGTCTACTTGGGCTGACGGTTCCTGAGCGCCATGCCTGGGCTGTGCCGGGACCTAGTGTGGTTTAGGCTGTTCCACACGGAAATGAGGGAAACAAGGAAACTTCTGTGACTTTAAAAATAATGCTTGGCAGACTAAATTCTTTAAAGTTCAGAGATGATTTCTTTTTCTCCTAGGGGAAGCAGAAGTTAGCATTTCTTCTATGAAATGATGATGATGCTAAATGGTATTTGTATTTTTTAAATATTTATCTACTTATTTTATTTGAAAGGCAGAGCAGCAGAGAGAGAGAAAGAGAGAGAGAGAGAGACAGAGACTTCCATTCGCTGGCTCATTCCCCAAATGCCTGCAACAGCCAGGTCTGGATTAGGCTAAAGCCAGGAACCAGGAAATCCATCTGGGTCTCCTACTTGGTGGCAGGGGCCCAAGTACCCGGGCCATCCTCCGCTGCCTGCCCAGGTACATTAGCAGGGAGTGGACTGGGAATGGAACAGCTGGAATCCGACCAGTATGAGACAGCGCTCCAGAATGAGACACCAGTGTCACAGCGGCAGCGTAACTTGCTGACCACAGCACTGTGTCCCCTCCATGGGAGTTTTAAAACTCCCCAGCTCAGAACTCTACCAATTCTGTTCTTCATTTTCTTCTTTTTAAAAATTGTACTTCCGGCGCCGCGGCTCACTAGGCTAATCCTCTGCCTTGCGGCGCCGGCACACCGGGTTCTAGTCCCGGTTGGGGCGCCGGATTCTGTCCTGGTTGCCCCTCTTCCAGGCCAGCTCTCTGCTGTGGCCCGGGAGTGCAGTGGAGGATGGCCCAAGTCCTTGGGCCCATGGGAGACCAGGAGAAGCACCTGGCTCCTGGCATCGGATCAGCGCGGTGCGCCGGCCGCAGCGGCCATTGGAGGGTGAACCAACGGCAAAGGAAGACCTTTCTCTCTGTCTCTCTCTCTCACTGTCCACTCTGCCTGTCCAAAAAAAAAAAAAAAATTGTACTTATTTATTTAGGAGGCCGCAAGACACATAGAAAGAGACAGACACAGAAAGACTCTGTGTGTATGTGTGTGTGTGTGTGTGTAAGGGGAGAGAGAGAGAGTTCTCAACCCACTGGTTTACTCCCCAAATGCCCACAATTTACTTATTTATTTGAAAGGCAGCAAGACAGAGAGAGACAGAGAGAGTGCTTTGGTTCACTCTCCAAGTCCCTGCAACAGCTGAGGCTGACCCGGCCTGGAGCTGGGAGCCAGGAACTCGATCTGGGTCTCTCACGGGCGGCAGGGACCCAGCTTCCGGAGCCGCACCACCGCCTCCCAGGGTCTGCATTAGCAGGAAGCTGGAGTCAAGAGCCAGAGCCCAGGATCCAACCCAGGCGCTCCGAACCCGCGTCAACCGTTAGGCCGAGACGTTGCCCCTGGTTTTTACTTTTCTGCATGGAATCCCATCCACGACACCACAAGGTCTGGGAAGCCCGGATCCAGAGGACTCTTTGTCTCCATTGCTCCTTGTTCTCCACCCCTGCCCACTCTCTGTGCTAAGCCGCCTCTGCAGGAGCCTCTTGGCCCATGTGGCTTTGGTGGCGGTGTTTGCCTGGTTCCCTGCAGGCCAGAGCACGCCTGCCCCACAGCCATGGCTGCACTTGCAGCCCCAGGGGCCTGTGGGGGTTTCCACGCTCTCCAGTCTCCACCACCCCCCAGTGGCAGCTCACGCCACCCACTCATGGGCTTCCCAGGTGTCCCAGGGCAGGGCAGGAAGTTCTACTTGTGCCCGCCCCTCCTCCCACCCCAAGGATGACTACCCTCCTGCAGCTTTTCAGGAAGTCCATGGGAGCAGAGAGACCACACCTTAAAAGACACTGGTGAAGCCCTCTGATGGGACATCTGCTTGTTCCCTTCTAAGACGGGAACTCTTGCCGTAAAGACTCTGGCTTAAACCACTTTCTTGGTCTACACTATAGATAGTACCAACATCCTAATCTCTGCTGTCTATATTAGTGAGACCCAGTTAAAAGTTTCAGACTAGGGGCCGGTGCTCTGACATAGTGGGTTAAGCCACCGCCTGCAGTGCTGGCATCCCATATGGGTACCAATTCGAGTCCTGGCTGCTTCATTTCCTATCCAGCTCCTTGATAACGTGCCTGGGAAAGCAGCAGGGTATGGGCCCAAATGCTTGGGCCCCTGCACCCACATGAGAGACCAGGAAGAAGCTCCTGGCTCCTGGTTTGCAGTTATTTGGGGGAGTGAAGCACCTATGGAGTGACATTTGGGACAGGGGAAGGAAGCAAGGTGCTACGTGTGGTGCTCTGCTCCTATCGGGAGCCCGGGGAAGGACGACTGAAGAAGAGCCGTAAACAAAGCCCAGCTCCGGCTCCTCCAACGAGGCAAAGTGAGGACTGCGCTGCTCAGGGGCTCTGCGGCTTGGCTTCCAGTCCTGACCCCGCCTCTGCCTCCGGCATCTGGAGCAGTCCCTTGGGCTCAGTGACTCTCGGCTTCCCCACCTGCTGTATGATCTGTGACAGAGAGAAAGGTCTTCCTTCCATTGGTTCACCCACCAAATGGCTGCTACGGCCAGCGCTGCGCCGATCTGAAGCCAGGAGCCAGGTACTTCTCCTGGTCTCCCGTTCGGGTGCAGGGCCCAAGAACTTGGGCCATCCTCCACTGCACTCCTGGGCCACAGCAGAGAGCTGGACTGGAAGAGGAGCAACCGGGATATAATCCGGCACCCCAACTGGGACTAGAACCCGGGGTGCCGGCGCCACAGGCGGAGGATTAGCCAAGTGAGCCATGGCGCCAGCCTCCCTTTAAGTCACTGGTGCATTTGGGAGACCTGGCTGGTCCAGGCTGCTGCAGGGCTCTCAGATAAAGCAAGTCTAGGTAACGCTGGTTGATGCTGGTTGCCGGGAGATTGGGAGGAAGATGGCTCTTTCGGGGACAGTCTTTTTTTTTTTTTTTTTTTTTAAAGATTTATTTATTTGAAAGACAGTTACAGAGAGGCAGAGGCAGCGGGGGTGGGTGGGTGGGGGTGGGGTCATCTATCCTCTGGTTCATTCCCCAGTGGCCAGAGCTGGGTCAATCTGAAGCCAGGAGCCAGGAGCTTCTTCCAGGTCTCCCACACAGGTGCAAGGGCCCAAGCACTTGGGCCATCTTCTGCTGCTTTCCCAGGCCGTAGCAGAGAGCTGTATCGGAAGTGGAGCAGCCGGGACTTGAACTAGGCCCATATGGGATGCCAGCATTGCAGGCGGCAGCATTACCTACTGTCATAGCGCCCACCCCTCAGGGATAGTCTTAACAAACCACTCCTGTCTCTTAAGGAGAACTTTATGGAAGCAAAGAGGAGGAAAGGAAAGATACGGAAAAGAGCGTTGTGGACACAGAGAGTCAAACGGTCTGAGGACTTGAAAGGCACAGTCTCCCGGGAGTTGTCTCCAGCAAGCCCTCCTTCCCCCACCCAGACCCCTCCTGCTCTGCTGCTCCATGCCTGGCACCACTATCGAAGAAGCCTCTGGTGTCTTACGGGGTCTTCAGATGGCTCATGAAAGGGGTGGGTTGAGAAGCTGATGCAGCTTGAGTCGACTGCGTCCAATAGCAGACTCCCTAAGTTCGAGTCCCAGCTCTGCTTCCAATTCCGGTTCCTGCTAATTCACACCCTGGGAGGCAGCAGGTGATGGCTCAAGGACTTTGGTCCTGGCCACCAGCCTGGGAGACCTGGATTGAGTTCCTGGTTCCTGACTGCAGCTTGGCCCAGCCCCAGCTGTTGTGGCCATCTGGGGAGTGAATCCACGCATGGAAGACCTCTTTCTTCCATCTCCCTCTCTCTGTCACTCTGCTCCTCAAATACATAAATAAAATGTTACATGGAAAATGCACTTTCTTTCTCTTTGAATTCCATTTTTCAAGAATGTTTTGGGGGTATCCTTGTAGTTCTGCCCTTAGAAATTAGTATTTTCGTTGCTGTGGCTTAATGGGTAAAACTTCCAGCTGTGACATTGGCATCCCATATAGTTGCCAGTTTAAATCCCAGCTGCTCCACTTTGGGTCTAGCTCCCTGCTAATGGCCTGGGACAGCAGTGAAAGATGGTCCAAGTGCCTGAGCCCCGGCACTCCCATGGGAGACCTAGAAGTGCCTGGCCCAGCCCTGGCCATTGTGGCCATTTGGGGACAAATGAATGGCAGATCTCTCTCTCTCTCTCTCTCTCTCTCTCTCTCTCTGTTTCCTTCTCTCTCTATATCTCTACCTTCCAAATAAATAAACAAATCTTTAAAAAAATTTAAAAAAGAAATTAGAGTTTTCACACCATAAATTCTGGGGAAACATTATTAGCAGCTTGTAAAAACGACAGATGATAAACCACTTATTTAACAACAGTAACAACGTGCAATTTTGCTCTGAGAGGGGATTTCACTGAACCAGCCTCCCATCCCCACCTCCAAACTCCACTCCTCTTTGGGCCCCAGGGCAGCCCCTACCCCAGAGAGGGCAGGCAGCAAGGAGGCAGGGGAGGGGTGGGGGAGGGGAACCTGGAAGCCAAGGTGAAATCCTGCTGGCGGAGCCACCTCGGGCGGCTTGGCGAGGCTCCAGCTCGGAGGCAAGTGGCCGGGTTCCTTTACAGACTCATTATGCTCTCTGGGCAGATAAGGAGGTGCAGCTATGACAGAGCTTGAAAACATGTGCTCTGCCTCCAACCTGGGTGCTATCTGTTAGAATCCGTGCCAGGTCTGCCTGCAACACTTAATTTCAGAAACCAGCGCCACCATAAAAGAAAATTCACCCTTTCATCTGCTTCCGGGATCGATTGGCCTCCCAG